TGATTTGATTGAAGATGTATTAAGTTTCTTTGAGGTTACACTGTACTTTATTAATTTCTTCTCCTATTTTAAAAGTCTGTTTTATCTTGAAATCTTTTCAACACCTAGAATTCTGAAACTATACTTTTCCCTCCCTTCGCTTTGTCTTTGTCAATCATACATTGACGTCTTTGAGTTCCTATTTTCAGTCCTGTAGTTTTGTTCGACTCTGAACACTTCCATATCTGGACTGAATTTCAGGTGGTGTTGTCACGCATGTCAATCTCCGGTAGCTGTCTATTGTTGGTTCTTAGTCCAAATGACTCCCTTTAGTCGTTTTTGTAAAGTTGGTTTGTTTTTTACAGTCCTTTAATTTCTGTTTATTAGGAAATGCCCTAATTTCACCGTCACATTTGAGAGACAGCTTTGCTTGGGATGTGATTCTTGGTTGGCAGTTTTTTTCTTTCAGAGTTTTGTATGTGTTTCCTGTTGCCTTATTGCCTACGTGGTTTCTGCTGAGAAATCAGAGATTGATCTCATTGGCTTTCTTTGATAGTATCATTTCGTTTTTTCCAAAACTGCACCCAGAATTCTTTCCTTACCTTTGATTTTGGACAGTTTTGATTATGAGATGTCTTGGTGATTTTCTTTTGGAGTGTATCCTGTTTGGGGTTTGTTCAACTCTTTGAATTCTTATCTTCTCATTTTCCATGATGTTATGGAAATTTTCTTCCAGAAGGTCCTTAACTATCTTTTCTGTGGTTTTCTTTGTCTCTTCCTGTTCTGGAATTCTGATCACCCATAGGTTATTCCTCTTCGTTTTGTCCCACAGGAATCTTAGGCATTTTTTCAGATTTTTTTCTTTCTTTTTTTTTTTTTCTGATTGTTCTTCTATTTTAAGAGTATTGAGAGATTTCTCTTCAAGCTTGCTTATTCTGGCTTCCATTGATTCAGTTATACTCCTTTGTCCTCTACTTGTATTCTCCGTTTCTGATATCCTAGTATTGATCTTCTGGATTTCTGTTTGCAGGTTTTGTATTGTTTCCAGTGTTCTATCTATTTTATTTGAGTTTTTCTATAGTGCTTTTTTTGAATTCTTCTTTGTTTTCCTTGACCTCTCTATGAAACGTTTGGATGTACCTCAATACCATTCTCCTGAATTCTTTTTCAGGTAGTTTCAGTGCCTCTTCTTCCTCAAAAGTATTTCGAGTCCTGCCTGTTGGTCATTTGTTTGAGCTAGTCTGTCTTGTTTCTTCATGTGAATAGAAATTTTCTGTTGCTTTTCTATACATTGTAGTGTTATTGTTTTTGTAGTAAGTTGATGAATGTATGTTGTTGTATTCTTAGGTGCTCACAGTTGCCTGTTGGTGGGTGTGATCAGGAGATGAGCTTAGAGAAGATCAGAGAGCTCGCTGTTCATACAGTTTTATTCAGAGTGGATTTAGCCAATGTTGATCGTAGTTGCTGCTCTAGTGGATAGCAGCTGGTATTGACTCTTGTCCAGTTGGTGGGGTTGTAAAAGGTAAGGCTGTGGCTTGGTGTGTGGATAAAGTTGCTGTCTCCTGTCATGTGATGTAAGAAGAAGGAAAACAAACAAGTGAAGAGCAGCCCACACAGTGAAAAATGAAAGTCCGTGTCTTTCTGTAATGAAGTGGTGTGCTGCGCCACCTACTGGCCTCTTGCCTTCACAACTGCCTGAGAAAGTCCAAAATGGCCATGCTGCATCTGCTGGCCCACACAGATCACCCATCTTCCTTCCTTCCTTTCTTTCTCCCTCTGCCCCGCCCCCCGTTTTTCTCTACACATGTCTGTTCAACCGCCTCTCATAGTTAGAGCCTGTCCAGGACTGGCCAGCGTCAGCTTTGCTGATTTGGATCAGAGCCTGCCATGGTAGGGTTATTGTATTGTGTTGTATCCTCCCTGGGAGTCACAATCTCCCAGTGACTCCAATGGCCTGGAAAGCAGTAGATTCCCTGGAGTTGTATGCTGGTCAGAAAACCGCACCTTTATCTGCATGAGCCACAGGTAGGTTTCTGCAACACGAATATGTTTTCTTATCTGTAAAGCCGTTCGTGTACTCTCAAGATGGCTGCAGCAGGTTCTGTTGGTGGCTGCTGCTCATCCATCCCTTCTTCTCTTGCTGCATCTATTCAATTCTCTCCCCCAGTAAGCACTCAAATCTACTTTTCTCTCCCTTCCTATGGGGCTCAGAGTTTCAGGACCATCCTCTGTATCTGTCTCATCCGATTTTCCATATCCTTACTACAGAGAACCTGCACAGCCTTTCTGCCCTGTCCGCCATCTTCCTCCTTCTCCTTCAATCTCATCTTTCCATGAACTTTTTGAAGCCCCCTTATGCCTATGTGTTGGTGCTAGTCACTCCTGAGTTATTTGTGACTCATGACTACCCCATGTGTTCCAGAATAGAACTGCTCAGAGAGTTTTCTTGGCTGTAGTGCTGTAGGATCAGCACTGGACTGCAAACCACAAGGTTGGCAGTTCAAACCCACCATCTGCTCTTTGAAAATCCTATACAGGGTCGCTATGAGTTGGAGCTGACTTAGCAACAACGGCAATAATCTTAGCAGAAGCAGATCTTTAGGCTTCTGTGATACTTTTGGGTAGGTTCAAGCGACTATCCTTTAAGTTATATAGGGTTAGATATGCACTTGGGTTTCATGATAATAAATTGAGTCCAGAGAACTAGGCTACGTGAAACTACTGACAGTTGACTTTTTTGAGTGTTTCAATAACAACTAAAATAGACCAACTTAACAAAAGGCCATATTTGTCTGAATTTTGCTTTCTACTGACCAATAAAGATTATTGTTTAACTTAGTTAAAATATTGCTAATTAAAATAGTCTCACTTTAATTACAATTTTCATTTAATTTTATTTTAGTGGAAGCTTTGTGATCCTGGTGGTGGTGGTGGTGGTCATGTGCTGTGGCGTTAGTTCCGACTCATAGCGACCCTGTGCAGGGTTTCCGAGGCTGTAAATCTGAACGGGAGCAGAAAGCCTCATCTTTCCCCCACGGAACTTCTGGTAGTTTTGAACTGCTGACCTTGAGGTTAGCAGCCTTACTTATAACCACTACGGTACCAGAGCTCCTAAATGGAAATGCTCCAGGTGAGACTCAAACTCACAACCACGGCATTTGCTCTTGCTGTCGTATTAGTGCTGTGTGCTAACTGATTGCCCCGTGGAGCTCCTTGAAATACTAGGTATCGTTCAAAACATTTTTTACTACGAGACAGCAACATAATGTTTAACGTATTTTTCTTCGTTTTGCTATTTCATAGATTTTCGTAAGACATGTAGTTTTACAATATTGAATTTAGACCTTATATGTATATCGTATTCATTCTGGGAAGAATATGATTCTAAGTCCAGCACTTTGGGGACTAGCAAAGCAGAGTGATACATTAGCAGAACACACAGCCCTTTTCACTTACTGAATCATGAAAGGGTTTCCTTTGCATTCAGAAGTGATTTTGCCTCTAATCCTTTAATATCATAACAAGAAACCATAAAATTCTGATCTTAGAAGAAATACATATAACTTTAAATATCCTCTTTTTTTTTAAAAATTTTTTTTGTGAATTGAGTGAAAGTTCACAGGGCAGATCATCAATTTTACATTCAAGAAATCATACACCTTGTTTCATTACAGTGATTATAATCCCCTCCATGTACCATCAGTTAACAGTATTTCTCTCTATTCACTTTAGCTTTTTTTTTTTTTTTTTTTTTCAAACACTCACACATGTATAATAATTTACACCACCAAAGGGCACATTCTGCAATTCTGCCTCCTGGCTGCCGCCAGCTCTTAGTTCTTCACTACCCATGAATCTAGATTCCTCAGCTGCTCCCTCTCTGCCTCCATCTCTGGTGTCGCTGCTTCTCTGGATAAAGTCTCATATTCCATTTGTGCTCTTCTCCCCTGATTGTCCTAGGGTATTTTGTTTCTGGACTGTAAGATTAACTACTCTCCCGTTTTTGTTACAAAACTTCTACCTTTACAGTTGTGACAGTCGCAATTAGTCATGATAATAATTACTCACTATTGAATCATAAGAATCTTATTCCCATCTCTTTTCACCAGACCTATGTAGACAAGATGAAAACTATTCAGTGGGGACTCGATATTCGCCCCCACACTCTTAAACTAAACTCCCTCTTGAAAGCTTGCAAGCCAATCACTTTGTGCCTTTATCGCCCCCTCATTTTAAGTAGCCAATGTCTAAGTTGCCCGTCCCTAAATATCTTCTTAATCTTTACTTATCTACCTAACCATTAGATCGTTTCCTTAACTGGTATTATTTGGAAAAATACATTATTAAAAATGCTGAATGGCTGTGTTTTCAATGAACTCACAAGAATCTGAGCCAAAATTGGTTTTGGTAGGAAAAAGACAATTTCTTGCTCTCAGGCTTAAATCTAGGCTGTTGTAAAGTATCTTATAAAACTTTGTGAAGCAGATAATTCTTAACAATATGCCAGTATCCTTCAACTAATCCCAATGAATGTATGTCATCACTGAAGTCCTTTGTGGTGCTGCAAGATAATGCGCTGGACCGCAAGGTCACCAATTCAAGCCCTCCACTCACTCCTCGGAAACCCTAGACTGGGTCACTATGAGTTAGAACCAACTTGACGGCGCTTAACAACAACAACAATTATGAAAAATAACATTTTTCTGAATCTAATTGAAGTTCAGAATTAGGTTTTGCTTTGTTTTTTTACTTTCAGATAAAGTTATTTAGATAGATTGAGCAGAGTAGCGATTTTGACATAAATTCTGTTTATTTCACTTTATTTTAATTTAAAAATAAACAAAGAACTGATATGTATGTAAAATAAAGCAGAACATCTTTCTCTTTTCTGACTACTGTTACCCAGAATAAAGTGATGGAACATAGTTTTTACACATGTTACTTCTTTATTTTTATTTTTAAAAGTAACTTTAGAAAGTGTATTCTCAAAAGAATTATATCGGTGCTGTTTACTTTTGCAGGAAATTTTTTCAGACTCCAAACTCCAGTTTCCGCAGTAAGAACGTTTTCCATGTCACAGTCATCGTATAAAGTATCCGATTCTGTGTGGAATCTGGGCCAACTCAATCACGTCGCCATAGCAGTGCCAGACTTGGAAAAAGCGTCAACATTTTATAAGGATATCCTTGGGGCCCAGGTCAGTGAAGTGGTCCCTCTTCCTGACCATGGAGTATCTGTTGTTTTTGTCAACCTGGGGAATACCAAGATGGAACTGCTTCATCCCCTGGGCAGTAACAGTCCGATTGCGGGTTTTCTGCAGAAGAACAAAGCTGGAGGAATACATCACGTCTGCATTGAGGTATTTCAATTATTGAAATGCTTGGTGTTTTCATTCATTCAAAATTTTATCTTTTGTTTCTTAAGACGATATTGTCACTCTCAACTTCTGTTTAACTCTTTAAGGGGAATGAAAATAATATTCTTATCCCAAGCTGGATCCATAGGTACCTTTTTCCCTTCTGTTGTTGTTGTTGTTAAGTGCCATCAAGCTGATACCGACTCGTAGCAACCCTGCGCACAACAGAATGAAACACTGCCTGGTCCTGGGCCAACCTCACAATTGTATTCATGTATTTCATTGAAGTCTGTATTCAGCTGCCACTATATAGGCAGATATGTTGATTTGAGCTTTTGCTACAGCATTTATTAATATACGACCCCAAATATAAAAGGATGACGTTCTGGTGTGGCGCTATAGGATAAGCACTGGACTGCTATCTACCAGGTCAGGGTTCAAATCCACCAGAAACTCCTCCGAAACCCTATACAGGGTTGCTATGAGTCAGAACTGACTCCATGGCACTTAACAACAATGAGAACAATTATCAAATGAATCAACTACTTTTCGTATTACAAGAAATTAGGAGAACGAAGTAAGAAAATATATGTATATAATTTCCATAATTGCTTTAAATAACTTTTTTCTTATTATAAAATGAATACATTTCAATGAGTGATTATGATTCATTAAATGCTCTGAATTGTATCTGTTAACAATGCCTGGAAGAAAACATGAAGAAACATTCATGAACATTCTCACTAGAAAGCTTATCTGTTCAGATATTACTTTTGTAGTATTAGTAACACTGATTATACTTTAGTTGAAATTAACTTGATGAGATTATTATTCTGAAAGAAAAGAAAGACATAGCTAAGACTTTGGCCTTGTTCCTGGTCCCGAGAGAGTGGGGTTGATTGTAGCGTGACTTCAGGGATCCATTCAGTTTACTTTTATAAACACATTGGTATGCTGTGTACTACACTCAATGCATGCCTTCAGTAATGAGCAAGATAAGGACCATCACAGTGAGGAGGGAAAGGTGTTTAAATAGACAATGACTCTCATCAGTAGAATTAGTGAAATGTGTTCGCAGTAGCACAAAAAGGGGAGAGATTGATTGCTCTGGACCAGCTGAGGGGATGGAAAGACATCACAGGGCATGAGTTAGAATGAAGGTGAATGAGATACCCGTGGACAAAAGGAGGAAGGTATACCAGGTAGAGGAAACAGCACGTGGAAAGGCATAGAGTTACCATCGTAATGTCTAACATTTACTGAGTCTTCTGGCAATATGTAAAGTTCATTTTGTTTAATTTTCATAACTGCTTTATGAGAACACTGTCAGCTTTGTTTGACAAGTGTTAATGTATTCAGTCACAGTAGTAAGTAGGTGACATGGCTAGGGATCAACTCAGGTTTGTTTCTGCACAAATGGTGTGGGGTGATGTCTGTCCTCCTCTGACTTCACAAGGCAGGTGGAGGAGAATTCCCATCAGCACCAGCCCTTGACCAATTCCTATAAGGCGGAGACCAGACAGGCCATCTCCCTTCACGCTTTACCAATTCTGATCCCAACTGTCCCCTCCTCTGCATACTTAGCTTCTCTGCTAGGGTGAGAGTCATTGTGATGGAAACGCAGAACTCACACAGCACACAATGAAGGGGTTTACTAGAGAAGTAACCAGTTTACAAGTCAGGATCAGAAATACCCTGGAGAGAGTTCTTTGGTTAAGACAGCTTTTTCTCATTTGTGCCTGCAGGCATGCCTGTCTGCTCTGGGGCCTCTCAGCCCTGTGACCCCTTGGCCTCTGCCCTGCTTGGGCGTGTTACAGAGCCCCTTTAGAACTGCTGATACATGCTCAAAGGGCCTGCTGCTCTGCCAGACGCTGCAACCCAAAGGCACTTGGCTCTAGCTCCATGAGTCAGCACACCTAGCTTCCTTGATTAAGTGCCTGGAGGTGACCCACCCCACAAATGAGTCTCTTGCCTGAAGACTTGCTCAGTGGGCCCAGGAGCCTGCAACTGTGCTCAACCTTATGCTCTTGGTTCTGCTGCTACTACCTTCTCCACCTCTTCAGCACGCTTCTCCCTTCCACAGCCCCCGTCTCCTGGATTGAAGAGATTCAGCACAGGAATCCCAAGGTTCAAGTGATGTGATCCAATCCTTGTTCTTTCCGATTCTGAGGTGACTAATTTTAAAGCCAGTGGAAAGGCAAAATTGACAAACCCCCATGTTAAGAGTTTCATAACCCTTTTTGTCTGTTCCCACCCAGTTATGTGGTGGGAGTTACAAAGATTGTGGCTAGAAGAGCCAACTCAAGTACATTCACTCATTACATGACCTGCACTTGGCCTTTATCATGTTGTTGTTGTTAAGTGCCACAGAGTCAGTTCCAACCCACAGTGACCTTGTAGGATTTCTAAGGAGCATCTGGTGAGCTTGAACCACTAACCTTGTGGTTGAAACCCACTTTGCAGTCCAGCACATGAGCCCCTAGCTCCACAAAAGGACTCCTGTCACATCTTATTGGCTGGGTTTAAAATTTGAAGTGGGAAAGATATAAGACATTAGGTCAAGGAGCTAAACAGGAGCTAATATTTAGCCTTTAGCCTTTCAGTAGCAAAGAATGGTGGGTGCGTGGTGGTGGCTGTGTGCTGTGGAGTCGGTTCTGACTCATAGTGACCCTGTACAGGGTTTCCAAGGCTGTAAATTTTTACGGGAGCAGAATGCCTCACCTTTCTCCGGCAGAACAGCTAGTAGTTTCAAACTGCTGACCTTGTGGTTCACAGCCCAATTCGTAACCACTATGCTACCAGAGAATGGTTAGATGCACATTTGTAGGAGGTTTCTTTTCATGCTTAAGGAGAAAGATGAGGCTTTCTGCTCCCGTAAAGATTTACACCTGGGAAACGCTATACAGGGTTGCTGTGAGTGGGAACTAGCTCCACGGTACTCTACCACCACTTTTGGCTCCAGGTCTTTATTTGTGGACTTGGCCATTTGTCTAAGACCCCCTAGGATGAAAGGCAGCAGTAGCTGCCTTTGACTCCACTCTTCTCTCTCCCATACTATACTGTGTTCTACTTCAAGAGAGCTCATGCCTTCAAAGGAAGCTAGATATGTGGGAGAGGAGTTCAGTTAACTAAAGGAAGTGGAAGTGTACAGTAATGTTATAGGTAATTCAAATGTAGAGATTAAAGGGAGGAAATGAGAATGTGTATGTATATGAGTTTAATAGATTTGAAATGAGGTTTACTCTACTTGACAACTCCCATAACCACTCTACAAACAAGAACAGTGAATGACTTAGCAAAAATAGGTAGGTAGGTATATAGACAGACAGACAGACAGATTTATTTTATATTATTTATTTATTTTATAACCTCGGAAACTCTATGCAGAGCCCTGACTTGATGCACCACCAACCAACCCAATGTTCTGGGTTTTTTTAATGTTTTATTGTGAATTATGTGATAGTTTACATGGGAGAACATTAGTTTTACATTCATCCTATTGTATATTGTTTCATTGCCATGGTTACAATCCCTTCCATGCATCATCAACCAACCAAAGGATATACACTACAAGCTTGCCCCTTGGTCGTCAGCACACAGCTCCTCTTCCTCTCTGTGTCTAAAGTCCCCAGCTGCTCCATCTCTCCACGTCATCGTCTCTGCCTCCATCTCAGGCATCACTGCTTCTCTGGATAGGGTCCCGCTCTCCGCTCTTCTCCCTTGATGGTCCCAGGGACCTCCGCTCCTAGACTGAAAAGTTAATCACTCCCCTCCTTGCTATAAAACGTCTACCTGTACATTTCCAACCCTCACAAGCAGTCCAGATAACAATTATTCACTATTGTATCACAAGAGACCTATCTGCATTTCATTTCATCAGCCCTGCCTAGACAGATTGGATACTACTCACTGGAGATTTTACCTTCCTCCATGCCCTCTGGATCTAGGTTCCCTCTTGAAAGCTTGTATGCCAGTCACTTTTTACCTTTGTAGCCCCCCCAATTTGGGTAGCCAATGTCCAAGTTGCCCATCCCTGTCTACTCTGTGTGTGGAGGGGATGAGGATGATTCTTGCTGTAAGGACTTGTTCCCTCTTTTGAGCTACTGCATCCATAGGTGTAGGTCAAGTTCATCAAATTGTATCAGATTACTCTTTTTTTCCTCTTCTGTCTTCTTCTGGTTGAGCTCTGATCATCCAGTCATTGAAGCCAGGTCAAGTGGGTATTATCTGCAAGTGTGGGTGTTCTTGTGCATATGCCCTCTCTTCTTATCAGCTGGATACTTCACTCTCCACTCTAGTCCTCTGTGGCTATGTCACTGACTCAGGGCCCAAGAGTCCCCAGGTTTTGCCACCCTGCTGGCCAACCAGGTCTCCACCCGGGTTCACAGGAGTCTATTGAACGTTGTAGGGCTTAGCTCACCGCTTCATTGCTGTTTTTCCCTCACTTCTCCTTATCGGTGACGAATGTGATCACCAATCACAGCGTGTATTCCCATTGAGTCTTAGTCTTTGAAGGGGGTTTGCACTGACGGGACCCGACCACTTGCCTTGATGTCTCCTGGGTGAGCAACTTGTTTGTTCTTATAGTAACAGTCAGTTTGCCTCTATTGTTTTGTATTTTTCCAGTCAGTGTTTCTTTCAAGAAATATCTTCTGTTCTTCTAGCCGCTTCAGGCTGGACTGCTTGTCCTTTCAAGTGGAAATTTCCCATCTCTGAAGATCTGGATGTGGTTCAGGCTTCCACCTATAGTCGTATGTAATGCAGAAGCTCCGCAAGAAGCCTCCAGATTTATTTCTGTTTCCTTTTCTCTGTCATTACCCTAGACTAATGGGGCAATTATACCTCCATAACACATAGCTTATAGCATTGCTCCATGCATCACCATTTGCCAGCTAGAGGGAAGGGAAGGCAGAGAGAATTAAAGGCAAGTACCTATAAGGAGGTGGAGGTATAGAATTTACACAGACCGTGTTTGCTCGTATCCCGTTGACCTGAGCTTGGTC